AGCTAATGATTCTGGCAGATCTTCAGCCTCCCACATGAATTTTGTTTGAGTCTGAATTCATGAACCAGGGATCTTTCCTTTGAACTTCATTTCCTCTTCAGAAATAGTTCAAAGCAGTTGGAGAGCATGAATGCCAAAATCAAGCCTGAAAACCACCACAGCCTCACTTTAAAACACTTCATTTTTCTCCTGAGAGTTCTGCTGTTGCTTTCCATGGCTTGTCAAACAACCCCGTTCAGATTTAGCACAGGATCTGCTGTTCCCATTCATCATGAGTCTCAAGACTGAGGCACTCCAGCTGCTCCAGGGCTATACCCTTAAAAGTGATCTTGCTGTGATGTTACAACAGCTGTTGTTATGACCTTGGCTATTTTTGACAAAAAGATAAAGATGAAATAGGTTCTTGTTCCTAATGACATCTTGTACAAAACATCCTTTCCAAGGAAAACTATGTTATCCATATGTACACGTTATGGATCAGGCTATGCCAGTCAGCAGCACTATGACCTCTCTCCCCTAGGTGACACAGCAAGAAAGATGGTTTGGTGTTATTATGCCAACATCTCTTTAATTACACTTTGGGCAAGTACTGTGCTTTCTCTCAAAACTACTAACAAATCAAACACTTTGAAAACTGCTTTATTTTTTCACTACAACCTCTGTGCTTGTTTACTTGGAAATTTCTCAACTTGGCACACACAATTCTGGAAGATTTTTTACTTTTAATTCAGGGTTCTTAACCTGAACTTTCTTTTTCCTACCTGTTGCCCCTTTTTTGAGAATCCCCTATTAACCAGAAAGATTTCTGTGGCCTTCCTCACAATAATGCTCTTGAGAGTCAAAATGGTCTTCTATAAAATGGCCTGATTAACATCTTGAAAGAAAGACCACCTTATTCCTCACAGGCCTGATGATTTCAATGAGACCTTACTATAGATTTCACCAAAGTTTTTTTAGCTGTTTCTTCAAGACTAACTCAACAACCACCTAAACACTTAAAGCAGATGAAAAGTCCTACTTGTTTAAGGATAAGCTTAAATTCTTTGCTGGATGGGGGCCTAAGGGCCTGTAAATACAGATGGTGTGAGCAAGACCCAGAAGAGGCCAGGTAACCACCAACAGGCAATTATATCCCCCTCCAGAACTTCACGCTGGTATATCACACTGTTTGAAGCTAATTGCTTTGAAATAATTGGGAAGGTGAGCAGGTAAGTTCATACAGAGCATTTGCAATCTTGCTTTGTATTTAAAAAACCAACAGTCCAGATTGCATGGACAAAACAGGCATGATTCAATAAAACAAGTTAAAAGGGAAAGGAGAGATATGCAGTGGTTTTTTAAAAAATATTTTCCTTTTAACTTTTAGCATCATTAAAATGCTAAAAACATTTTGCTCAAGAGCTTCTTTAGTTAATACCTCATTACTTCTCTTTTTATTGTTATGGTAATCAAGCCTTAATATATTGCAGCTTTATAGCATGAAATCAAGGCTAGGCCTGTGGGCATGGACAGATGTACAACAGCATGCAGTAAAACACAGGTACAGAGACATGCAGAGCTGAATATGGCACTGGGGTTTTTTATAATTGTTTAGCAATTCATCTGAAGTTATTTTAACCTTGACAACAGATGAACTCTAACATGTACCATGATCAGTCACTGGAAAGCTGCACTGAAAAGCAAGTTTGGTAACTGTTGTCTTACAGGCTGGGTTCTAGGAAAGCATGAAACCGAGTGTAAGCAAGATGATTAAATTGTTTGCATGACTACAGGCAGTACCTGAAACTACTCAACACATTTAATTGAGAATATTTTAGCCAAGGGAGAATGGTAATGCTGGGGAACTGCATTTTACACCAGAACTTTGACTCTCCATGGGAAACTGGGGCTCAGTGTCACAATTCAGACCCTCTCCAGGCATACGCACTCTAAAAAATAAGAATATTTGGATCTGACTTCTGGTTCTGAAGTGACCCTTGGACCTTGTGCTGGAGCTTTGCTTATGGTTGAATTTCACCCATCAAATCAAGTGAAAGTTAGAAATAACTTTTAGAAAGTTATAATGGCTGTGTCTGCAGGGTGTCGAAATTGTATCTCAGAAAGAATGAGGGTCCTTAGATCTTCCTGGAGTAAATGACAACACACGACCCCCAGTGTCAGGGAGGCTCCACTTCTCAGCGGTGCTTTCAGCAGAGATCATTCAGGAAACCATTCCAGCTCCTGGCAGCTTTGCTAAATTTAAAGGGAGTGTTTTGGCTGGCGATCCCTCTCCCAGTGCAAGCACTTCAAACACCCAACATGAAAAGCAATATGCCTGTGTCTGCATCAAATCCCTGATCCTGAACAATGAATTGGGAAGTTCTCGAGTCCCATGAGTTTGGGATGGCACCATTCACCTTGGTTTCTCCTGAGCACACCCTGCAGGAACATCCCAAACAGCCTCTGTCACTGCAAACATGTGGCCTTCACTGGTTACCCAATAGTCATGAGGAAAAAGAAAGAAAGTAGGTACAGGTGACATTCCAGTAGAAGTGAAAATTGTTTTCTACATTATAACTGGACAACAGTAAAATATGATTTAACACATGGATCACGTATCAGAAAAACCTGGTTAACCTCAGTTAGACAAAGCTTCCAGATTCCCCCTTTCTTGGAAATACTGGGAGTAACAACATGCTATATTCAGCTGAAGCCTGTTCCTGCAAACCTTTAAATTTAAACAAAGTCTCCTAACAATGAAGAGTCCAGTCACCCAAATTTCTAGTGTCAAGCAGAAAGGTTAGCAGCTCTCAGGTGCAGTAAAACTGACTTTCCCTCCTAGGAGCATTCCACTGGGCAGAGCCTGTGGGATCAGACCTTGGCACAGGAACACGTGTTACCCAGAACATAACAAGTGGAATGCAAGACAATGGGCACTATAGGCCAGAAAACACACTAATTATATTAATAAAAGGAAAGCTTAAATTTTGAAGCTAATCCTGGGCTATCATTTATAAAAGTTAACAGGGCATATTTAATTTAGGAATTGGCTAACACTTCTCTTTCCACCGCTGAAACCTCATAAATGAAATATACTGGATCCCTGCCCAGTGCGGAAATAAAAGTTATGAATAATGTTTCTATCTCAATCATTGTCAGTGCTTTAATATTCCTAATTACTTTAAAAAGCTAAATATTCAATATAGGAAAAACCTTCTTTTTCTTTTATCTCCACTTGCAAGATTAGAGCAATTTAATAAGAGTCACTGAGTAGTTTTAGTCCACAAGACCATTCTGTACTTTGACATCTTATCCTTTCCTGGCCATTTTTACACAGAATGAAGCGTTTTTTCCTCTGTGAGTGCACATATGTATAAATGTATAGTCTACATATATATGTCCTTATTGTCATAGTCTTTTTTTTTTATCATTATTTTTAACTTCTGTTAGTGCACATGCACTGTACAAATACTCGCTGGTAGGTTAAACTAAATCTAGTACTAAGAATAATCAAAACAAAATGAGCTCCTGAGAATCTATGCAATATGTCACAATTGATGGCATTATTTTTCCTTTTAAAAATATTTTTAAAGACAGATTTTCAATATGTCATGATGCCCAGTTTTTCCCTTGTCTACATTCCAGGTAATCCCAAAATGTTACTTTAAACCCCATAGCATGGCCTTTGTTTCCATCCTTGGAATCATATAATCCCAGAATGGTTTGAGTCGCAGGGAGCTCACTGATCATCTCATCCCAACACCTGCCATGGGCAGGGCTGCCATCCCCACACCAGGTTACTCAGGGCTCTGTCCAACCTGGCCTTGAATACTCCCAGGGCTGGAGCATCCACATCCCCTCTGGATTAAAGTCCTTCCTCCCTGCTCCCTTCCCGTTCCCTTTTCTGCTGGAATTGAGGGATATTCAGCAGAGCTGCAGACAAATCTCCCGGAACCCATGCAGGAATCTGCCCTGCTGCCTTCAGCCTCTGGTTGTGTTCACCCTCAGGCACATTTACCTCCCATTCCCTCCTAAATCCTCCCTCTATAGATCCCTTCTGTTACCTTCTTGCCTGCTAACCATGCTTCTTTCTTAAGATCCCAATCAATTTGGGAGAAAGGGAGGAAGCCAACACAAAACAAAACATCCATTCAGTTTCATTTCACAGCATCTCTCCCCATGCAGCTTTATTTACTTGCTTGATGCACAAATTGACTCCATTTATCAAGCTTATTTCTGTTATGTCAATAATTTCTCAGGTCTGTGTTACATCACACTTGGATGTTTGTGCTGCCTGTTCCATTCCAGCATGAACCAAACACTTAAACTCACCGTTCCCAATTAAGAGAGTTTAACAAACACAGCCTTGCCAGCTGAAAGAATTGAAAACCTCAAGTGTGGATTAATTCCCTAGCAAAAGGTGCAGAACTCCCAACTCCCATTTCCCTAACTTTGGCAGTATGGATTTAAGGAATGGATTTTAAGTCAGAGGAGAGAATCTGGGCTGCCTGAAAAGTCAATGGCAAAACTCCCACTGGCTTGAACAGGACAAGAATTCTATCTGGAGAGAGTGCTTTCCAAACAGCTCCAACACTCCACAGATTTTTTTCATGGATAATGTGCTGTATTAAAGATTTGAGAGGGAAAAAATTCTTTAGAGTTCCATTATCTGTACTGGTATCCTAATAACAGAACCAAAAACATTAACAGCATCCTCCACTGCATTTCACATTTCTTTGCAAAACACAACCAAAAAAATCCAATGTCATTATCCTAGGAAAGGGCATTCCCACATATTCACAGAACCACAGTACTATAGAATTATTCTACAGTTCATACAACAGTTCACAGGTTGGGGTTGGAAGGGACCTTAAAGCCCTTCCAACCTTTGTTCCAACCCAATATGAATTCTTACAAAATAACCAGCAGACAGCCCTCATTTTTCCATTCAAAGCATCCAAGTTCTAAGACCACTGCTTTATAAAACACGTATTTTTATCATATTTGGTATCTTTACTTACCACTTGAGCAATCAGTCCCTCCCCAGCCTGGTTCACAGTGACACGTGTCAGGAGAGACACATCTTCCATGCACACACTCCTCTGTGCACAGTGCTGTTGAGAGGAAACAACAGACAACATTGTAAACATATTAAGAGATTGCTAAACGTACCCTAAACAATGCCTTAGAGAGCAATATTTTGTTTAAAAATATTAAACAAAACAAACTCACAAAAAAAAATAATATTATTCTCAAGATTTAATTATTGCTAAGTGACCAAAATAAAATATAGGTCTCTTGACAGCGATAAATTCATTTGTCACTTCAGCCCTGTAATGAAAAACTCGCATACCACAAATTCTTTTGGTTCGCAGTTTTGATTCATAATAAAGTTTTTACCAAAGTGACATTTATTATTATTGTATTACAGAACAGCAGCTTCTTAAATCACACTCAAATTGCAACTGCTCATAAGACAAAATGGAGCTCAATCTTGGAAGTGTATTAAGATCCAAAATAGATTTGTAAAAAACAGCTCTAAGAAAATAAATAATTTTACTCCATGATGCAGTGGTTGTAAGTGCATTTGTGTCTTTTCAAGGTCAGCCAGTTTTCCATTACTACAGTTCTCTGTTTCACTGGTGGAATATTGGAAGTTCAATATACTCAAGTTGAAACCAAGACAAACAGCTTGGCTGAGGAACAGCTCACAGTTTTTAGGATTCTCTTTTCCTGTGCTGTTTCAGTGTCTGACAGTTTCCAGTGTGTGCCCACCACATACTAAAGAACCTGGAGAGCACTGAATAACTGCTTTAAAGACTGAACTTTGCTGCTTACTACCTTGTTTCCATTTTACCACTTAGGACAATGCCAAAAACTCTGTGTGTCAGACATTCAGACTGGATGGTTAAGTTGGAACATATCATTTCCATCACAACCAACATGTATGAATTATTAATAAATATGAAGCAGTAGCAACGAGGTCACTGTATTAAACTGTATGTACATATATAAAAAAATATATTATTTCGATAATTATAATTCTTTATTATATTATATTTATATATGATATATTCTTTATATTATTTATTTATATTATTTATATTATATATATAATTTTATATTATATTATATATCTTATAGTTGTTATTATATTATATTATATTATATTATATTATATTATATTATATTATATTATATTATATTATATTATGATCATATATAACCTATGGTTATATACATATATATGGATATGGTTATATCCCGTGTTTTTATATCAGATGGGAAATGTGGGTCTTGAGTTTACTTAACCTGAAGCTGGACTACAAAAGACTTATCCCAAGACAAAGATAACTCCTTCCTGTTTAAACCAAGGCTAGCATAACTGATTTGGGAAGTAGCTTTGGGTTGATGTAGTGAAAATGGAACTGAACCACCCAGTTCCTTTGAAATCAGCCAGCAAAGCTTCTGGAAGTTTCCCTGACCTGCAGGTGAAATGAAAGCTGGAACCCTTTCAATTCCCAGATACCTCCTGCACCAACAGCTCTCCACCACTGCCTTGTAGCTCTGAATGAGTCCTGATACACCTGAGGTTCTTGTTGGACTCCCAGACTGGATCACATCCTGGACCCACACCCAGGCTGCCATCAAAGCTCATGGAAACATTTTGCTGCCTATTCTGTGGTTGGGTCATTGCAGACCAAACCCACTGAGCTGTTCACAAAATATTTAAATCTAACTCCAAAATGCAGGTGAACTTAGAATAATCCTGTGGGACAAACTTTGCTGCTCTTTACCCAGCAGGTCCCACGTGACCAGTGATTAGAACGCTGCCTCGTTAAAACGACTGCAAGATCTCTCTAAATTAATCATTTCCTTTCTACGTTTGCTGCATGTCAAAAATGCAATTTATTCTTATTCCATATCTTGTGTTTAGACAGTATTGCAGTGGGCATGAAATATTCATAGCTAATCTCTAGTCACTAATTGTCCTAATCTTTTGTGCATTTATTTTACTCGAGTTAGGCTTTCTGGAGATAGTGAAGCATCCTACTCTACAGCTGTAGGATGAAACTCAGGACAGGACATAAGATAAACAGGATTTTCCCATAAAAATATACACACCTTCCTGCAATCATTTGAAAATGGCTGGTTATCCAGACGAGGGAGAAGTTCACATATAGAAAAGTCACAAACTTAGAGGTTTTTATTCAAACTACAGTGTGCTAAAAGATACAGGATGTGCTGGGATAGGGATACCTTGGGAATTGTGCCCAGCTTTAGCTGAGAGGAAATTTTTCATTGATGTGACATCCTAATTTTGCAAGAGATGTGGAAGTCAAAACTGAGATTTTGCTGTTTCCTGTATAGACATTTGCAGTAATAAATCACTCTAACATGTGAAATGTGTAGCATTTCTTACCCTTTTAACTGGGCCATATTCTCACCTAAAGGCAAACATTGTGAGCAAGAACGTTGATGGGGGACTGGTTCTTTACTCTTCCAAATAACAAAATTCCTGCACATTACTGCTCTAAATTTAGTTGATTTCCACACAAATTTATCACACCTTAATTATGTTAACATAAATATGAAATGATAGTAATTAATTAAGCAAGAAAGTTTCCTTAGTCACTTGTCTAGCTGCAGTCCTATGGGAAGAGTGCAATGTGAGACTTAGCAGCAAGTCTCAAGAGAGAACTCTTCATTCTAAAGCACTTAGTCACAAGAAAAATAATAAAAAATATATTACAAAGAACTCTATCCTTGTTTTCAGGTGTTCTGAAGTCCCACATTGCTGAAGAGGACAATGTTTAATGAGCAATTAAAGATTCAAGTAAGGTGAAGATGCTTCTTGGAGTTGTGGGTTCTCTCATCTCTGGTTGATTAATTACTAAACAAGTAGCTGTGAGCTCAGAGCTCACTAGTGACTAGTTCCAAATGTGGGGGTCACAGAAAACCCCCTTTTTAAACAGAGAAGCTTTGACAGAAGTAATTTTATTTAAAGTGGCAAACAATCAGACTCCTGCACTGACTGATTCAAATCAGGTTTATAAAGGTCATATTAGGGTACAGCTCTAAAGTTTTACCATAGCAAATAAAATTTTGAATTTCTCCTATAAAAGGGAAGTCTTGCCTTGCTCAAGTCTTTAGAGTTTAAATTAATTTTTCATTCTATTAACATTCAACATAATAGGATACAATGGTCCCCTAGGCATTCTTCATAATACACTTTGTACACTGGTTTGCAAATGATCTTATTAGTTAATGGAACTATAAAAATTACTTGCACATAAAGGTCAAGAAAAATAAAGATAAGTATATACTTTCTGACACTGTCCTGTTCAACACTCAGCCCCTGGAGTAAAGAAAACTTGTCCTAATGCAAGGAATATAATTCCTCCCAGTATAATAGCCCAAGCACTTCAACCTTTGGAATTCCAGACTTTTTATGTCTGCATTTTCCCTCAACCATTTCACTTGAGCAATCCAGCACCTCATTGATCAGTGTATTATTAGCATTCTTGGCATGAGTTTGACATCAGTTTGTAGTTTGATTCAGCCTGGTAATAAAATGACCTACATCAAAGCCCTGCCAAAATGCCATCTTTGTCGCAATGTGTTTAGCATGAGTTATTTGCCCACATTCAAGGTTACACAGCAACTGCTCCTTATCATGCAATAAAGGCAACAAAAGGGTTCTGTAACAATCCATTTGATGCTTATCACTTACTTTATAATTACAGACTGGCCTTTTTTTAACATATAAGGTCAATCCTCAGGGAAATAAACCTAAAGATTAAACTCTTTTCACACCTGAAACGGCTGCACTGAGGAATGGATATTAGAGAAATGGATTCCTCTAACACTAGTCTTTATTCTTTAATTGTTGCCCAGAATTTGAATTCAGATATGATAAATGGTTTGTCTGTGTCTCCTCTCCACAAAAGTGTGAAGTGGCCAGAATATTGCAATGAGGAGAAGAGCTCAGTGGAGCAGACTGCAGAATATTTCCACTGCAGAGTTCCTTCAGCTAAGGGGCACCACAGAGAATTCATCCTGGACAAAAGCAGGGATGGAGAGTTGCTCTGTCTTCCTTGATGCTGCATTCCTCTGCATGGACCCAAATTATGATGTTGCAGGGTTTAACTCTGTTTTTACACCCACTGTGATACCCTGCTCATCACATCATCCACCCACTGACTGCCAGCACCCACTGAGCTCCACAATCTGCCTCTTTCCCAGAGGTTGAGGTGCATAGGGAAGAGTTTCATCCTAGGGAAACAAGTATGGAGTGATTAACTTGAAAAAATTTTGTTGTCCAAAAATATAACCTGTGCATTTATTTTACAAAAGACAGACTCACAAACAGCCTAATTTGTGCTTGCACTGGAGTGTGGTAACATTTGTGGTGGTCCTTAGAACCTGTGGGAGTTCACAGCTACCGACCCGGCAACTTCCATCTGCCATTGTCCCACTTTGCTGTGCCAGACAAGCAAAATATTTCCAAAACAAAGAGCAGGATAATTACAAAGTGTGAAGGACCCAGAGCAGAACAGAAATCAGGCTCTGTGAGCTGTGCTCGCTCACGACAGCGCGTGCTGCTGGAGAGCAGTGCCGGAGCATTCTGTACACGCTGGAATTTCCTGGGCTCTGTGGGATTCCTGCCCAGGATCATAGAGCAGCCAGGAGGTGACAGAAAGCATAAATAACTGTAGATACATTATGATAATGGAAAACATTGCTAAATGGAGATATGGATGCTGCTATGAGACACAATGAGAAATTCAGGCACTCGCCTGGAAGTGCACAGAATGAACTGGTTTATTTGGACTGCACACATGGCACAAGGTCATTGCCTCAAAATATCTTCTTTTCTCTGTCTTACCTCTGCCACGTTTTCTTCACTGTACACTGATCTTGCCCAAACTCTGACCAATTTCATTTATTTCCTGTGAACCAATGGTAAACATGCATTTTTTCTTTTATGTTGCTGGTATTTTAACTTCAGATTATTTAACCAGTTCACTCCATGCTTGAAAGTTGTTGGACTAAACAAAGCAGAAATTTAATGGAAAAAATTATGTTTTCCTTAGTATTTAATATGTCTCCC